ATTTAACCCTTTTTGATTCAAGCTGTCTAGAACTCATGCTCTTTCAAAGTAGTTTGTGTTTCATTTGTCTATGTATTATTAACTTATCTCCATTTAAATAATAGTTAATGGCCTTTTCAACAACAATAGCATGGTGAAAACGTTTTCCTTACCTTCTGCATGAAGCGGAGAGTCAACGATGTTGGGGTTGTTGATGGGGTGGCGAGGTGTCAGTGGTTTTGATATTCGTACTGGGAGGGTAGTGGCTGATGTGATGGCAGATGACAATGTGGTGGATGATTTAACAACTGATGCTGCAGTGGATGATGTGGTATTTCTTGATTTCGTGGCTGATGAAATGGTTTTTGTGGACGTCGTGGAGGTGGTAATGTGTGTTGTAGTAGTTGTTTGGACCTTTGGTGACATCAAGCATGCTGCTGGTGGTTTGCTGGTTGGACTTGCATCTATAACATAATGAAAGAGAGAAGATATCAGAAGATAGTATTTTAAAAATATTTATTACATGTCAAAATTTATGGTCGGATTGAAATGAATCAACTGTGGTTGATTCTAGTTCTTTGTCTTCAAGTCCTAATTCATTTACAAGTGTAAAGAAATGAGGAAGAAATCAAATCAAATCATCATGTCTATGTTATATACATTAATGTTGTAGTTGATTCCCTTGTAGAACAGGGAAGGTGGTAAATTTCATCATAGTTCATGAAACAATAAAATTAAAAAATGATAGAATATAATTTTTCTTGTTTCAAAAAGAGATCTGTAGACTTAAAACAAAGGATAGAGGGAAATTGTGGTATTGACAAGAGTGTTTGTGGAAAATAATTATTTTCTGTCATTGCCTCTTGTTCATGTAATAATTACAATTTTCATTTACAGGTCTGTCGATGGTGCAAGAAGTGATCTGTATTATTGTGAACTTAATAGCCAGGCACGTTTTGGTAGTTATACTTCATTTCCATGTACCCTGATAAATACATTGAATTGATTACCCTGAACTGTCTTGGAGAGGTCCTCTTCCGAAGTTCCACAAGGAATGTTCCCTCTGAATTCAACCTGCAAAAAAGAGCAAAACAGAAGGGAGGAATGCTGTCCAGATTATGGCAACCCTGCCAACCCAAAGAGGGCAGTCTGTTTGTTCAACTGTGAACTGGACCAGAAGACTGATTAAGCATTAGTTGGTGAGTAGTGAGCTTCACTGTTAGTGTCAACTGGACAAATTCATGTTGATTGTGAACTGTCCAACTCAGGCAGACAGGGGTGGAAATGCCCATTGAATGTGGAATCTACAGTGTATCAAGTGTATTAAAGAGTACTTTACAGGCTCGTAATTATCTAGAGTTATTTTGTTACTTTTTTAGAAGGTGTTTAGATTGTGTTTGTTTGGTAAATAGAGATAAGACTTAGTATGCAATGATAGTTCATAACTGAGTCAGTTAATATAGAATAATGTATAATTTATTTAGAAGTATCTAGCTTCTTGTTGATTTTTTTTGGTTTGTTTATTTCTCTGTTACATATCATAACTATTAAATTTATATCATTTTATTTTTCTATCAAATAAACTTTTACTAGTATATAATACTAATTTCTTCCTTTTAATTATGACTGTTATACATGTACTTTTATTTTTAGCCTTGTTTATGAAGTACACATTCAAATTAAAGAGGTTTAAGGTATACATTAAGCTAGTTCCTTTAGTGTCTAAAGTTATCATTCAGTGTTGAGGATACCCTTTATCTGTAACCTGACTGCAGTTAACCCATTCACCCTGTCAGCTGACATATCAACCTCATCCCCAACCTGGACCAATAACCTTTAGCCTCCTCTCCTAGCTACATGTTGTTTCAATCTCGACCATGTGAAAAATTCTATTACTTAATATTAAGTCTTCTATATTTACATCTGGAGGTTCATTGTTCTTCTTTCTTTGATGGTGCCTTCTTGTTACCTCTTGTTAGTTGGTAGTTTGTATCCCCACCATGCGAGAGAAGTCATTGTGTATCGACCATGCCTTAACCATTGAACATTCCTTTGCAACTTTCCAGGTGTATTCCATCGTTTCTCATTATTTTCGTCTTGACTGTGTTCATCTTTGCTTGTACTCTTGTCGCTTGTTTGCAATTCCCAGTGGTTATGACTTTGCGTGACTTTTTTTTTTTAAGTAGCACAGTGTTATCTACTGTAATAATTTATTCAGTGTATTTTCATAAATTGCATTTTTATATCAAGTTCACAATTATTTAGTGGTTATTTAATGTTGATTTATTGTTAACTTGTGTTTTGGATTTGGTATTTGATAACTTCCTACATCAACTACTCATTTTAGAATTATTACATCGATGTACGGTATTTGCTTGAGGGCATTCAGTTAACTTAATATTAAGAGTATGCTTATGCATTATTATCGTTCCCTGCCGGCATTATTTACGAATGTTTAACCCATTTACCTAATTATTATACCTTTTTGGTAAGATATCCTTTCCCTTATAAAGATGTATTATACATAAATATTTTTTTATGACAAGTAATAATAGCTTGGAAAGTCATCTAGTCAAAGGTCATACTGGGTAGTCAGTGTTGTTGTAAATGCAGTCTTTGATTAATTTTGTGTTACATGTTATGTTATGTTCCCAAGAGCCTGGTGGCAAAGATCCTCGCTCACGTAGAGCATGGACACAGAGGACCTGGCTCCATTAAGAACCCAGTCTGCGAGGGTTATGTTCCCAAGAACCTGGTGGCAAAGATCCTCGCTCACGTAGAGCATGGACACAGAGGACCTGGCTCGATTAAGAACCCAGTCTGCGAGAGTTATGTTCCCAAGAACCTGGTGGCAAAGATCCTCGCTCACGTGAGAGCATGGACACAGAGGACCTGGCTCGATTAAGAACCCAGTCTGCGAGGGTTATGTTCCCAAGAACCTGGTGGCAAAGATCCTCGCTCACGTAGAGCATGGACACAGAGGACCTGGCTCGATTAAGAACCCAGTCTGCGAGGGTTATGTTCCCAAGAACCTGGTGGCAAAGATCCTCGCTCACGTAGAGCATGGACACAGAGGACCTGGCTCGATTAAGAACTCTAAGGTTAGATGTCCAGAAATTCACGGGGTTAATAGGTGTAGGTTTCTGTTTAAAATAGGAATAAATAGAAATAAACGTTGCAACTAAAAATAAATAGTTTCTTTTTCATTTTCAATTTACAAAGTGCTGACATTTTAGTGTCATCTCAAACATCAGTTTCCTTGGGTTAGATATAGTAACCTTCTGCTGTTTCCCTTAGTAAGCTTCTTTTACATATCTGATTCTAGATAGCTTATTAGATATTATTGTTATGGTACATTTGCATGTGCCAACATCTGTTTGCATTCCCCCCTTACCTCAAATGACCCAAGCAGTCTAACCATGTCTGCTTCATCCTGTGTGATAAAGTAGAAATCTTCTTTCAGCAAAGGTTTTTACTATCAAAACTCAAGCAACTTTATCCAGATAAGATAAATGATAATGTACCATACTTACATTCCCACAAAACTCAAAACTTCATGGCCCTTTAGTCGCTCCTTGTGACTTATACATGTAGGTCTGGACTCTTTATGTAACGTAAAAAGAGAGGCATCTCATCAGCCCCCTGCCCAGTCATATACTTCCTGTAAAATAAAACAAAAACCGCAGTGACTTAAAGAAATATTCATTTAGGCTTTGGAGGTAGTTCACTGCTATTTCAATAACATGACCACACTCATCAGGCAATGTTTTAATAGTTATTGATCCTCTTAAGTTGTGCACCCTTAGAAATTGTTCTTGGCAATTTACCCAATCATGTTATAGTTTAGGATAATAGATAAATAAGGATATTTGTGCCGATGTTACCTTCTTATCATGAATTAATATTATCTATAATATCATTTCCTTTATTTATTACTTTCTTATCTGTCTTTCTTTGCCAATGCTACTTTATTTAGCTTTGGCTAAATACAAGTGAAGTTATTAGGGAAATGCATGGCCCTTTCAGTATCCTGTTACTGATATGATGCTTCGGGTGCTCTCAATGACTAATAATTTATTAAAACGCTACATCAATTTCAAAACCTAAAGAAAATACTGTCTTTTACTCGAGATGTTGCCTATTGAAAAGTATAACAATATTGTGAAAATGAAATGATCAGCATGTTGAGAGCGTGTGGCAAAGAAAAATCTGAGTCCCTTTTAGGATTCGAACCTATGATCTCCCAAACACAGGGCAGGCACTCTACCCACTTGATCTACAGAAAACTCTTTTTACAATATTATTGCTTCTTTGGTACCTGATAGAAGGCAGTTTCACTAAATTTGCGGGACATTAATGGGCGGCCCTGAACCAAGTCGCACACTATCACTTTGTAGCCTTCTTTGGGCGGGCGAGTTATCCTCTGGCGTCTCATCTGCCTTACCTTGTTAAGAAAAAATAAACAAAGCAAAACAACATTCAGCCTATTTTATTTTGCTTTAAAATCAAAACGGTTTTGTATGGACTTAAAAGTTAAATTATCAACAGTTATCCCGATGTGAAATCAACAATGTATCAGTGAGCAGTACAATTAATTTGGAAGTGAGTACATGTCTACTGATGTACTGTTAAACCTCCCTCACCTGTTGGGCTTGAATAGAGCTGGAAATTGCCCGTTTTTTCCTGCAATGAAAAGGTCACATTCAGCCAAATATCAGATGTAGTAACTGTTTTTGGCTTTAAGTTTATTGATGAGCTTAAAAGACAGCAGAGTGACTAAGGGCTTTCCTTCAACAATGTACACAATTGTTAAGGGTGCTTCTGGACCAGCTTGCTTGCCAAATTTTTTTTTTCTTGAGAATATCAGTGTTTGGCATAACCTGGTCTTTTTTGTTAGGAAATGGAATTAGGCAATCTAGAGAATGTTCCAGATTATGTCAAAGGTCATGTTTGGAGATTTCTAACTTCAGGATTGTTATGTGATATTTAATTACTTGGTTTATTGACAGTGCTAAGATCAGGGGTAACTGATAAAGGTGTAGTCTTAAATTTAAAAAAAATTAATAAACAACTGAACCTTCAAAATCAGCTATTTCATGCCTCTAAGGATTGCTTTTCCATAACTTACAGCTAAATCTCGAAATTGACTTTACCTGTTTTTTTTGTTTTTTTTTTCATAGCCTCCTTCAATTTAATGTGTAACTTTTGCATCATATTAGGTATGTTACCTCTGTTGTTGGTGAACAGCTGCCCTTTCTAAAACTTTTTTCAAAACGGAGCCCACTTCATCAATGTCTGCATCTAAATAGGGTAAGGGTACAGAAAAGAAAATGATTGCTTTCATTTAATTCTACCTTCTCCTTCTTTGCTTGCCATAATTGTCTTATAAAACTTGAACCTTCCAGTTGATATAATCATACTTTGATCCTTGTTCAGGTTAGCTGTTTGTGGTACTCATTAGATCTAATCCTTCAGCTGTATCTCTGTATGTAAAAGCTATTGAAAAATCCTTGCTTTCCAGTTTGAGGCTCCATGTATTGGGGTTTTGAGTTAATTCAAGAATTAAAGGACATATGGCAATCTTTTCTCACCATAACTGTAACATTACTCATTAATAAGCCTTGAGCACGTGCTGTTGTATTACAGGCATATCGTTCTAACACACACACACGATCGTGACAGCTTTGATCCCGTTTGAAAGTGGTTTAAAAATTTATTGTTATTGACATTGACCACGACGATTCTTGCTCCTCTAAAATTACCTGAAATCTGTCCCAACAACGAAGGACTTCTACCCACTGACGGGACCAGGAAAAGTATCCTTTCTGTGCGTGGGTCACCACCATAAATGTCCATAACTAACAAGGATAAATAATTTACAAGTAAACGTCTTGTCAATAATTTCTGATTAAGTCATTAATCCAGTTGCCTGTTATTTAAACAAAGAGATGTTTGTGATTCGATAAGTGTTACCTTATAGTTTCACATGGCCTAATGACTCCCTAGCAAAAATCTATTAATATTATAGTCTACTACACCTGTACACAGGTGTGTGCACTGTTCTTTCAAAAGAGGTTTTATATATACAGTAAGTGGCATTGTGCTGTGGACAAATCATTTTCATGATGTTAAACCTTCACCTTTCAACCCGTCAGTGGAGCTTGTTTCTCCGATCCAAAACAACCAATTTTCACTGTGTTTATTTTCCATCTCATGAAGCACCCTGCAGTAAGAAACTTCAAAAGTCAGTATTGGTATAATTATGACAATAATAATTATTAATATCTCCCTTGAATATATGCATGCAACTGCTTTTGCATCGTCACAGAAGGAAGGTTTTACATGCCTCAACAAATCTCTCCTCTTCTCATCAATCGCTTTCCTTTTGTTTACTAGGGTAAGAATCACTCCCTTGCAGTCTTCATTTGCCTGCCAGCATAACTGGAATAAATAACAAAGAGAGAGTAAGGGAGTAAATAAATTATAGTTAATATTTGTCTATTGTCACTTTGCTTTGAACTGTTAAGAAAATTAGGTGATTAAGCCTTCCTTTGTTAGCAATAATTTATTAATAATTTAATACCTCTTCGAAGGAATGATTCAAAAATGGCAGCATGCATGTCTGGTCACTTGATGACTGTAAGAGACACTGGCAATTTGCCACTTCATCGGAACGTGACGTTCTTCTTCGTGTTGGTCCTATCACAAGAAAAATACATTCAACTGCAATTTAAACATTGACCTCTATTTTATCAGTAACTGCATTTGAAATATGCCCAATTTTTTATATGCCCTCACTGAGTCAATATCTCTGTCTTATTTTAAAAAAATTCGGGATTGAATCGAGACAAAAAGAAGGCGAAAGAGAACAGGTACATGTAAGTGCTGAACTTTAGAGCAGATTGCTTACCTCCCAGGCCAAAAGGAAAAAGGTCTTGCTTGACTGTTCCAGCTATATCGGTGTAGGTGTTGATATTGTAGAGAAATCAAACAATGTGACTGCATGAGCAATTTTGTAGTTGAACAAATAAAGCTAAATCAAGACATTCCTTCTAATATTGATCGTTCGCATAGAGGACAGATGTATAGAAAAAAGCTGAAATTGCGTAATTTATAACTAACTAAGCCTTTTGGTTGATTTGCAATTCCCACCAATTATTTTTCTAGTGGCCTGTTGAGACCTATTAAGGATACGGTCAATTTTTGTTATGCTAATAACATTTAGAAGTCTTATGATAAAAAATCAAGATTCATTATATGCATGGATGTAATTTGCCGGGGTGTTTACCTTGTATCCCTGTTCCATTAAATGGGGTCCCTTGAAAGAATCCTGTAAGACGTGGAAAAATTTCAGCGAGCATAAATTTTCAAGCAGGATAAAAATATGTTGATTTGTTTTGTTGCAGTTATGGCTACAATGTGGTATATCACTATTTTTTTAATTTTTTTTTTTTGTCAACAGTAGATTTTTGTCTTTTTCTTTTGTTATTTTTTTTTTTTCCAGTAAGTGTAATTATTAACATTATTATTTTTTCAAGAGCACACTGACTTTCACTCATGTCTATTTTTTCCCTTGGTTTTTTTTCCCCTTTCCCTTATGATCCTCACATAAATTTTTATCTCTTACATAGATCTACATGAAATTAATGTTCCAGCATACAGACTAATTATGCCATAATTATTCAAAACATTATTTTGCTCAACTGTGCTACGTGTTGGATAGTTAAACCTTGGCTAGCAGAAGATTCTTTACTAGAATCTACTTGGTCAATTGCAACATAATGTATTAAGCAGCTTAATTAACTTTTGATTTATGTAAGCAAAGTAGTATTTGATTGAGATACTTAAAATGTCCAGTACTTTTTCATACAACAAGTTCCTAACTGATACACCTATAAACCTACATGTATATCGCCTAATGATAGAATATAATGTTTGGTCACCTGTTCTCCTTGGTTGAGCAGTAACACTTTGAACAGTTGAAGCTGATCTTGTATTTGAATCTACGTGCAATCAGATAAAGGAGACATCTTAGTCAACTGGGTGACAGAGGCTCTTGAAGGGGAATCAACATAATTGCAACCTAATTTACTCCAGCAGCTTGATTAATTTTTGATTTATGCAGGTAACATATTAGAACCTGTACTTATAGAAGTGTCCAGTACTTTTTCAAGATAATGTAAAGAGTTTTTATGTGAAATTAATTTGTCTAACTTCTAAATCAGGGTAACAATACCATAAAATGTTTCCAAGTCACCTCCACCAAGTGGTTGAACACCTTGGGTCATTGAAGCTCTTGTACTTGAATCTACATGCAATCAAATGAATGAGGCAGTGTGACTTTCAAGTCATGTAGGCAAAGGAAATAAATTTTGAATAAATCTGCCAAATAACCAAAAATTCAGTACTTTTTGAAATGTCCGTTACTTTTTCATACAATAACTTCTTATGTAATATTCCTGTAAACTTACATGTAGGTCGGCGCAATAATGCAATATAATGTTTGGTCACCTGTGCTAAGTAGTTGAGCAGGTAAACTTTATGTGAAATCCTGCAGGAGTTCTTATCACTACATGTATATAAATTACAGTATATTTACGGTGCAAACTTAACACAAGCTCATTTACAACTTCTGGTAATGAACAATCTGATCTATGATCTCCTTCATACAACATTAATTTTAATACTAACAGAAAATTCCAAAACTCAACGCCAAAAAATAAGAAAAATAATAATGAAACAAATATTTCATCTGAACCATTCAGACCTCATCAGTGCTGCGAGGTGACAGGTTGCGTAACAGAAAAACTGGAAATCCCCAAAAGAGTATTATATATTGGTGGTATAAAAATCGAGAATCGTAATTAGGATCTTATAAACTTAGCCTAGTTGGCCAATAAGTACCCCAGAATACAGGAACGTATTTCCCAAAATCCAAAACATTCATGGGAGTTTAATTTATGGTATTAGATTCTATATTACACCAGTATTTTCCTTACAATGGGTTGGACTGTGATCCAAGACAACCAGATCATCATCTTCGGGTGGACTTAGGGATACGTCTGTGGGAAAGGTAGAGAATTTGAAATTAGCCATTAACAATGCCTTGAGTTCTTAGAAGACAGTTTGATGGGCTTATTGTTAAATGCATGTCAACATTATTCTTTGTTGCAGCAGTTTCAATTTCTCAAGGAAGAAGGAGGGGCTGGCAGTTAGCTCAACAATTAACTCCTCAGGTACTCAGACTACCTGTAAAAGACCAAACAACAAGAAAAGGAGACGTAAAGCAGTCACTAGGCGTGGAAACAGGAATTTCCCCAGCCTGTTACTTTGAGCAAGTTCCAAAAATACCTGCATGGGAAGTAAAACAAACAAACAGACAAGGAAAAAGAAAATAACTTCTCATTGCCTTTTTAATGCATGCATATCACTTTACCATTGAATTGAAATCTTGGTAACAACCCTTCTACTGGAGTGGTTATTGTTTGAAGGTATGTAGACTTCATTCAGTTTATTTACATTTATTATATAATAATTATCAGAAACTCACAAGGGGTTATAACTTTCTGATAATAATATGGGGCTGTGCTGTAGCAGCACCCGGTGGCCCCTGGTGCCCAACTTTTGCTCTTGGGCGACTAGAAAATCTTAGTTTTTTTCATACAAATCACATGCTGGGCACCTACGGTTTCAGACATTAAGAGCACCGGGCTCCCTTTAATTTTCTTTAGAGCACAGCCTTGTATTATATATTATGTATGTTTTTTTAAAAGAACCAGAGATAACATAAAAATATCACTCACCATCATTTGCATTGTTTTGTCCAGCTAATCTTGCTAGGAGCCTTCTTGTCGATACTGGTAAAAAAAAAGTGTTGTGCTGGATTGAGCATTCAAATGGTCCTTGAAATTAAAATTTTTATCAATTTTGGTGACGATTAACAATCAGACATTTTATTGCTTGTAAATTATGAAAGCAAGACCTTTTAAGACTCACTTGGGGAAATATCAGGGCTTGAGGTAAAACAAAACTAACTGGTTTCCCGAGGGGCCTGACATCAAGTGTTTTGTTATATTAATTTTACTTCAACGTACTTCAACAGCAACACAAGAATACGTTCAGTGAAATGTTCAGAGATTCAAAACAAAATGGATGTATTTGCTAATTATGACATTGATTTTCAATGCTCTGTCTCAGAAAATACTCCCATCAACAAAATTAAAAGCAATGATCATGAGTGCAAAGCAACAATTTTTTTTTAAAGGTATCAAACTCTCACAGACATAATTCCAGTTAACTTACAGCCATCTCTAGGAACTGACAGTGGTGTTGCCGTAACTGTAATAGAGGCTGTTGCTGATGTGGGTGTTGCTCTTGTACCACTTGAACCTAAATTATTTTAAAATGAAACAATAATTAATATGAGGACAATAATTAGTCATGCAGTGATGTATATATAACTGGCACAAGATTAGATAAGCAACAAATACATCATGTTTGTTCACTAAGACCAAAAAATGCTCAAGTAAACTATATTATACCAAGGTTATTTTTTCATGAAGTTGTAATTTAAACTTCATAAAGCCACTCTCCTACCCCTTACCTCTCCTGCCTCCCTCAATCAAAAATGCCTCATTCAAACCAGCCTCTCCCAAATGGGCACCCCTGACTAAATATTGTGTAAATTAAATATAAGAGGAGCTAATTGAAGATGATGACCATGCACAACTCAAATTAAGCTACGTCAAATAATTCAATGTGTTTCTATTACTAATTTTCATTAGTTCTCTATTTTGCGTGCCTAATTAATGGAAGCCAGCTTTCGTTGACCTAGACTAATGTGGTTAAATTATGTTGATCTTATCTTTTATTAGGGGACCTCACTTTCCCCCCTCCCCCACAAAAAAAAAAGAATATGTAACTATTGCTCTTGAATAATGATTACTGTTCTTTTATAAGAGTACCATTTAGGGGACTGTTGTGGAATTTGGACTCTGTGAGCAGGTGCAGCCAGGTTAGTATTTTATTATTGTAGATACTTACTTCCCCTTCATTAGTTTTTATACTCTTACAGTTCTTATTTTCTGGAAAAAATAGTTTTTAATGTTTATAAAATATGTGCAACATCAGTGTCGGTAAGTTCGTACACTGAACAGCTTAGGGCAACGTTATATGGATTGTATCTGCATATGTTCTGTATATTGTCCCTAGGTTGATAAAAGAACCTTGCATACGGTGTGCCTAGTCAGTGTATTTGTGTGCCGCTTAACAATGATGGTACTTCGGACACCCCCTCTAGAATATTTGTCTATGAGCTGTAACTCTCCCTACCTAGTCCTGTATGAATGGAGAATGCAGGTGATGGCATGGCTGTTGATGGGATGTTGGATGAAGAGGAGGTTGTTGATGAGGTGAAAGCTGGTAAGAAACTATGTGAGGAGCTGGTAGTTGGTGAAGTCAGGGTTGACATAGTTCCAGTTGATGAAGTCGCAGATGATGTGCGAGTAGCAGCAGTTGATGAAGTCAGGGATGATGTAACTCCAATTGACGAAGTCAAGAATGACGTAGTTCCAGTTAAAGAAGTTGTGGACGATGTACAGGTAGTTGCAGTCCTTGGTGGTGTGGTTGCAGTTGATAAAGGTGTAGATGTCGCGGTTGTGGTTGATGTAGTTCTGGGTAATGATGTTGTGGTTGATGTAGTTCTGGGTGATGATGTTGTGGTTGATGTAGTTCTGGGTGATGATGTTGTGGCTGATGTAGTTCTGGGTAATGATGTTGTGGTTGATGTAGTTCTGGGTAATGATGTTGTGGTTGATGTAGTTCTGGATGATGAAATAGTGGTAGATGTTGTTCTGGGTGATGGAATTGGGGTCGATGTAGTTCTCGATGATGAAGTAGTCGTTGAGGTTGATGAGATGGTCACTAATGGGGTGGCAGTTGATGGAGTAGATGTTGGATTTGATGTTGTTGCTGTTACACCTAGTGGAAAAAAAGAAGTGTTCAATAGATTTGACAAAAATCAGTTTATATGTTGTGCTAATTCATGTGTGGAATTTCCTTGCCCATATCAACTCAAAATTCAGTGTGAGTCCTCTTTCACATGTACATCTTCTTCCTTGTCCAACCACAGTGGTTTCCACTAATAATGAGTTAGGCCATAAGAAATCAAGTTCACCAACATTCCAAAATATAATAGTAACCTAGGCTTTCAGAAAGTTTTTTGAGATTTTGTGGTTTTGTTTTGTTACTCGCGTGAATTGCTTATAATGTCTACTTTGCCCTCACTCCTATAGATAGTGACAAAATAATTTTCTGTACAGTCAAACATTCTTGTGCAAGCAACCTCCAGCAACCAACCCTCCCTTAAGCATAATCCAATGTCAACTTAGTTCATTTTTCAGATTTTTATGGCTACGTTCTCAAGGGTCTAAAAGACAGGCCAGAATGCAGGTAGCCTACGAGCAAATTCTCTTATTTGGGCAAGCGAAGCGAGCCGCGCGAGAACGCGAGCGAGCGGCGAAGCCCCCGCCCCCCGTTTTAGCGTCTCCTCAAGCGTGCCTCTTGTGTCTTTTTCCGATATTGCCCAAATGGAGAGCTTGCTCGCACAGGTAAATAAATAGCATTAAAAGTGTCCCCTACTCCTAATCCCTTAACCAAATGCTCTTATAGATCAAGGGAAATCTGTGTGGTTTGGCAATTTATCGATGGAGCCGTAACCTGTACTCATGACCTGTGGAATGTGACCTGTACTTTAGACCAGGCATTCTCGAAGACATGAAAAAAAATTACCTGAACTGGATTTCCAATGCATATATATTTTCTTGGTCGTAGACCCTTTAAATTCCTTCGCGAGCTCAAGTCCAGTTGGAATACCTTGGAATAGAACCTTCATTGAGTGGCCACTCTTTTCCGACTTTAGAAATCTCAGTCTTTGGGAAGAAACAAAACAGCATGATTTGCTTGAAAGGACAACAATATGGAAGACGACGACGCAGTTAAGGCACACACTACAAAAGAACACTTACTTGGTGAGATCCAAACCAGCCAAACTTGGAAAATTGGACTTCAGCAACCCCTCGATATCAGCATTTGAGTATCTCTTCGTAAAACAAAGATCACGGACTCTGCCAGCTGCTTTAAGAGCCTCGTATTTGCTCTTGCAGGGAGCACCCCGCAAGCGCTTTTTTAGATGCACGAATGGCCTAGTGAAAGGCCTCTTACTATGCTGTACATTGCTTGACAAATCATCGTCTGATGAGTCAAACTCGACCTCGCTGTCGCTGTTCATTTCCAACCGAAGCAAATAACAACACGCGAAATAACACTTGAACGCTCCTTCAAACAACAGATATCAACTTGACGCGTGGATCTTGCTTGGTGTCAATTACAAAGCGACGTTTTATTGTGACAACTGATACTATAAACTTTAATGAACAATATAATCAATGTGCGAAATAGTGATGTAATTGTTTGTAGTCGCCGCGTTCTCCAAGGAATATGCAGTCAGAAGTATACTGCATTAATTAAATAAAAGAAAGATCTTGCTACCAATTTTTCGTCGGCTGTTTGTAAAAAATAGGTATGTATAATCTTGGAAATAAAAGTAATACCGCATTGTTTAAAAAGAGTATCGTTTTTCATCTCTTCCCAAATCAGGCAAATACCGCCTACGTCCTAGGAAAAAAATTTCCACTGCGGCATATAAAATGTTCCGTGTCATCTCACGTAAAATTTACGAACGTAAATGAAAAAGAAGGAAAGTACGAAGGCGTAAATGTAAAAGTTAAGCGATGTTCAACACTTTACTTTTACGTGGACACTTTCAGCTTCAATTTTATTTACCTGCGTACGCGCGTGTAAATCACGGCACAGTTCTTCACAAAAGATTTCGGCGTTGTCCTAGGGCTCTAGGGGCTCCAGGCTCCGCTGAATTGAGAGAGGGCGAACACGAAAATAACACCGGGAGGAAATCGCCCCCGCCAACTTTTACATGCCTTTTACTTTCGTCTTCCCCACTATCTTAGAACCTGGCGTTGTCTCTCTACCTGCGCGGGAAATTTATGACGTTCTCGTTCCCCGCCCTCGTTCTTACGCGCCGCGCTCTCCCCGCTCTCGTTCTCTTCGATTTTCAAAAAGAAAAAGAAAGCCACGTCGGTCTACAGGCTATGAGTACTATACAAAAAAAAAAAAATAGGTTTAGAGCACGTATCAAACATTATTTCACAGAAAACGTCGAATTCATTCAGTGATTATCAACCTAAAGGCTACCTTAAAAGGCATAATTTAAATCACGTCTTTTTTTTATGCCGGCATTTTCAAAATTTATCATTCACAAACAACGTCCTAGAATTTTATAATTTTTATCATGTGAATAAGTACTTGGCTAAGTAGTATAATGTTAGGGGCATCAGGGCTCTCGTAGTGAGCTTGGCCGGTTTCGCCTATATTTGCGAGCAACCTAACTTTTTACTTGAATGTTCGTTTCAAGTTATTTTTCTTACCGATGTTAACAATTATTGTGAAGAACGGAGAATCAAGCTTTTTGTGTTTACATTTAAAATATCAAGAAATTTAGCTAGCAACTCTTGAATGTTAGGTAGACACTTTTCCAACTTTTTTGGACTTTTGGTAAGTGTTGGCAACTTTTCGACTGGCCAGGAAGCAGCTTTCCGACATTTTACGTATTGGTTGGTCAGTTTTATTGATGCGGTTGGAAACTTCTACGTTGGATTTCGAAATGACATGTTCTCTAGAGGTAAAAGAAATTTTAAACCTGGAACAAAGAGAAAGCCTTACTCGAACACTGCCGCTTTAAAAATCTGATTCACGCATAACAATATAACAATAGAAACATGCGATTAAACTGAAACATGTTAAAATTCACAAGTTCACTTTCTGAATGCACATACCGGTCTCGACAAGTGCCCTGCAGAGGCCATCCTCCTTCGACTTCCGACCGTTTTCCTTCAAAATGAGCCTTCGTCAACTTTTCGAGTTGGAGAGGGGTCCAATAGAGAATGTGATTAGATGGCTTCAAGGCAGAGCTCTTTTAGCCAATCCTCTCCATTGCGGACAGTGCAACGAGGACATGGAGCTTAGACCGAGAGGCGATGAACACATAGATGGCTTTCGTTGGTAAGTTTCTATCCTACTTTTTACTTAGCTTTATCGTGTATCAAACGCGACTCTGTCCCCTTGCTTTGTCTTTCCACAAGTTTTTATTTCGGAAAGAAGTGAGACCCTTCAAATCGTTTTCAGTTTACTACGCCGTTATCTACGCTTGGATAAGCTTGCGGAATGTAAGGTAAGAAGGACGGACGGGAAAACTAAGAAAGGGCGTAAAAGTTTGACTTTCATACGTTGCGACAGGCAGAATACCCGGGCACTTATCAGTTGCAACACGCGTTGAATAACAAAAGAAACTATTTTGTTATGATACCTCGTTCTGTAAAGCTTTCCGACAAGTGGCCGAGTATTCTAAAGTTGCTCCTCCGCTTTAAGGCAGTTACACCTGTGATTGATCAATTGCCACCAACATTTAATTTGACCAAAGGCAAAAGGCGCCAAAAGCAAGCCAGTGCGCAGGTTTATTTTTACGCAAACACTTCTTGGAAATAATTAATATGGAATATATATCTAACCAATTTGTTTAAAAGCAACATAACGAAATTTGCAGTCATGATCATTTGCGTGAAAAGGCGTTAAAATTCAGGTTTCGAAAGCCGATAAGCTTCAAGAGCACACTAACGAAAGAAAAGCAAAGGAGAAAAATAGGGAGCGAGGTGGAAGAAAAGAGAAGAATTGAAAACAACAATGTTTACACTCTCAGTTTTTATAAAGGCTACTTTGGAGAAAAAAATTGTTGGCTTGACTTAAAAAAAGGTTCATTTGGCAAAACCGTAAATGTACTTCCTCGCCAAAGGTGCGCGGGCGCGAGTATATTTTCCAGCCACATAATTTTGTATTTTACAGCCCTAATTGCCTGAACTCCTTCCTTGTTTTTTTTTGTGTGTGTGAAATGATAGCGACTCAGCATATAATATTCCGAATGGATCTAGCTGACTCGAATATGGTCTTGTCAGTGCTTGTCCCAAACGTTAGTTCCTCTACTTTATAAGTCTGTATTCGATTTGTGTACTTCCGCGCCAAAGGTGCGCGTGCGCGAGTATATTTTCCAGCCACATAATTTTGTATTTTAAAGCCCGAATTGCTGGAACTCCTTCCTTACTTTTTTTTTTATGAATAACGTTCAAAAAACGTTGAGCTACGTGGGAGCCTAAGCATGTACGCTTCTACTTACTGGCTTATCTGTTGTAGAAACTGCTAAAAATCTGGAAAAATCCGAATGTTGGTGGTAAAATGATCATAGAGAAATGAAGGTTTTGGAGGCAAGAAACGAAGCGGAAGACCAAAAGTCATGACCAAAGCAGCTAAAATAGTTTTCAGATGTACAAAATAAGAGACTCGAAGAGGAAGCTCTCACATAATTAGCAAGCCAAGTCCAGTAAGGATCATGAAAATCTAGACCCTGAGATGGCCAAAAAAACCGATCTGCACAGTAATTTTCAAGGAGTTATAATAACTCCTCTAGTGGAGCTAATTTGACTCCTTACAGTGGAGTTATTTTTTGGGGGAGTTTTTTAACTCCGAAAAGAGTTTAAATAACTCTTTTTCAGGAGTAAAAGTGACCCCAGATACTGAGGAGATAAAACAACCCCCAAAACGGAGTTATCCTGTACCTAAAATTTTTACTCCACTTTCAGAGTTAAATTAACTCCAAAAAGAGTAAAAACAACCCATGTAAGGAGTAACTACCCCATTTCGGAATTATCTTAACTCCAGACTTGGAGTAAAAAGAACTCTTTTTCAGGAGTCAAAATGACCGCAAATTCGGAGTTAAATTCGGAGTTAAAATAACCCCTAAAAAGGGGTTATCTTGTACCTAAAATTTTTTACTTCATTTTTTGAGTTATAATAACTCCCTAAAAATTACGGTGTGCTTAGTCTGCCAAATAACGCCCGATTCGTCTCAAATTTGTAAAGAAGTACAAAGGCCTTGCTGTGGAAAGGGGCCGGGATGATGATCTTTTTTGGATGAATGCCCCAAAAATTTTTTTTGTTCAGCTGTCTAAACTAACAAATATTGTTTGGGGGTTGAACTGGCTCCTGCGCACCGGGTGATAAAAAAAAGTTCAAAATGGATCTTCTTTGAGCCTACACGCTCTACCCCACTCCATTCCGCACAGCTACAGAATGTGTTAAAAAACAAAAAGGGCATGCCAGTTACTAAAATTCTGAATAGATGAACTCGATAGAGAATTAACAGCTTCTAGAAATTTAATGTAAAAATAAAGCTTTGATCAAAAGTTATGCATGGTGCATGAAAGTAGAGGAACGAACTTTTGGGACACCCTGTACTATATTCAGACTATATGCTGACTCGATTTTAGTGGTCATTGTTGTCGTCGAACCCGACTAACGCGCAACCTTATACATCTGCTGAGCATGGTTAGCAATATCCGCGTGCATGCGAGTGCACCCTTAGCCCCTTGCCATTCTTTGATCATGGTTATATTTCATTCTGAAACTGCAGGCATTGCCGGAGGTGCAAAAAGAGGCGAAGCCTCAGAAGCAACAGCTTCTTCGAGGAGTTTCCGCGAATTTCTTTGGCGAAGCTGCTTCTATGCATATATTTTTTCGTCGAGGACGACTCACAAAAGTCTGCATCCAGGAAGGTTGGACTGACAAAAAACAAAACATCCCAGATCTACCGAAGACTGGAGGACGTGTGTACTGTTGATCTGGAGTATAATCCAATAACGCCATTCGGAGGACCCGGGATAGTTGTGAAGTGCGACGAAAGCAAATTTAACCACAAGGCTAAAGTTAGTAACATTTTTTAAAAAAAAGTAATTTCGAGGAAGAGTTCTAGACGGCAAACCCTCTTTAGGAGTTCGAGAGGGACACTCCCTATTCACGAGTGTTCGTTTGTCGCGTACATGTATTCGAGTTATTTTGGGCAATTCAATTATTATCTCCCTTTAACATCTCCATCATAACACCTTTTTCAACCAGACAGGGTTTTACAGAGCTACGATCAAAATCCCAAAGTCCCCGCGCCTTCCCCCGCCACCCCAATCCCGCTGCAAGTCCACCAGTGAATTTCTTTGTCTTCATTAAAATTGAAGATACGTTATATGAGCTAAGCTTTTCTTTTAAAGAAAATAAAAATTATTTTTTTAAGAGAAAACGAGGACTGTACAGTCCCCGAACTGTATTAAACGAAAA